TATCTCTGGAGGCAGATGTAGCAAAAGTCTTTCCTACATGGCAAAGTACCAAGTAAATGATGTAAAATAGAAGACACTTAATGACAGACACCCAAGGTAGTCCTCTGACTGCTCCCTCACATGCCACGCACATGTGCTCCAGGACCTTGCTATGCGTTCACCCCTACATGAATACATGCACACAAAGATAAAGAGTTCCACATCCATCTGGCTATGGCCCTGCAGTCATTAACACATGCTCTGCAATGACAGAGTCTTCATTTAAGTGACTGGGAGGAGGTAAACACTGCATCCTCCTTTTGGAGATCCACTGGGTGCTTCGGCATACTGAGGAAGTTGTCATGACAGATATCATGACAGATGATTACAGCAACCATCTTATGATGATGAAGGTCAAACCCAGGGTCAACATCCTACCACTGAGCTACATCCACAGCATCTTATAATTGTTCCTTTCGTATGTCAGCTTGTCTAGGCCATGATATCAAAACACTCAGTCAAATATCAGTGTGGAACGTTACCCTGAGGGTTATTTGTTGTGGTTCACATTTATACCAGGTGAGTAAGTCAAGGAGACACTAATTGTGCTGTGGAGGGGCCTTGTCTAATTCACTTCAAATGTTGTTGTTACAACAACAACAACAACAACAAAAGGCTGCCCTCCCTAGAGCAAGAGGCTGTTCTGCCAGCAGACTGTCTTTGAATTCAGCCGCAACACCCTGTCTCTTTTGGGCCTTGAGCCTGTTGACCTCCCTGGAGCTTTTGAACTTGCCAGCTTCCATGTTTCATGGAGTGAGTCCGGAAAAAAAAAATCTCTTTCTAGCTCTGTCTATTACTCTCTCTTCCTCTCTGTTTCTGTCCCTTTTCTACACATACATGCATCCTATTGTTTCTTGAGACAACCGCAACTAATGAACAAACCAAAGACTCTGAAAAGGTCTATAATTAAAAATTTAAAAATTAAAAACTGTTTAACCTAGTATTCTCCCAGTTTGCTCAAGAGCAAATCTTTCTTCTGTCAACCGCGTTATCCTGAAGTGTACCTCGGGAAGTGCATGCTGCTGACTGGACCATTGCTGGTTCTCCATAGCTTGTGCCAGCAGTGCTGAACTCTGCTTTGTGTCAGAAAGAATTTCACACGTGTTGGAACAAAAGACTGCACACATTATTTTCTTCTTCACAAGTCATAGAAGAATATAACTGCTTGTCTGAGCACAATGAGGTAAAAAAATGTCCACTGTGTTGCATCATTTAGGAAAAAGCAGCCCCCACCTGTGAAATAGACCCATGTCTGTGTTTCTGTAACTGTGTTTCTTAGTCTGTTTAGGTTGCTATAATAAACTACCATACACCTGGTGGCTTATAAACACAGTTTATTCCCTCAGCCTTGGAATTGAGAAGTCTAGTGTCAAGTGCTGGCAGATTCGGTGTCTGTCTGTAAAGATGGGTTTCTAGGTTCTTCGGTGGTACTATCTAACTTCTTCCACATAGTAGAAGGATGCAAAGCAATGCTTCCCGCGCTCCTTTCCCTCTCCCTCCCACCCTCTCCCCTGCCCTCTCCTTTGGCTCTTGGTTTCAAAGGTCCAGCCCTTCATGGAAGGAGGGTGTGGCTTGGCAGAAAAGCACCCACCAAGGCAGAGGAAATCAAAGAAAATGCCCGAGCTTCTGGCTTTCTCCCCACTCCCATCCACTTTTACCCCATCCTGGCTCACACCATGTACTGGTGTTGCCCTCATTCAGGGCATGTCTTCTCCCTTGGCTAATCCTTTCAGGAAAGCAAAGTGGGTCTCTTTTTATGAGGGAATTAATCCCATGCACTATGGCTCTCCTCTTATGAACTAATCACCTCTCCCAAAGGATTCGAACAAATGAATTCAGAGCAGACATGATGTTGAGACCATTGTCACATATATCAAGGGACAGTACAGGTGTAGGGAATGCATGAGACAATGCACAACTGGCAGGAGCATGACAAGGGACACGACAAGGCCTCCTTTCTTTTGGATTGCCCCTTCTCCAGAAGCTATGTCTCCTACCAAAGCAGGCGAGCCTACTGCCTTTCCTGGAAAAAAATGAACCAGATGCCCAGGCTACAGTGTCATTTATTAGGATCACTGCTTGGATTTGCTAAAACACTGTAAGATCTGTATGCACACTCGAGTTTACAATAAAATGTGTCAGAATATAGTCCTGGCTTCCTGAATGTTCCAAGGTCAAGGGAGCCAGGGAAACTGAGGAAGCAGGGTGCTCAGGCTCTCCGACACTCTCCCGTCTAGCACAGAGCAGGATTCCCTTAACCTTTCCATGCCTGAAGGAGGCAATGGGACCTGCAAAGGTAAGTCTGACTTCTCTTTATTGTGCCCTGGAGACTGTCATGTGACAGGTGTCCTTCCTGTGCCTGAAGGGAAAAAAGTCCATGTACAGGGACTCCAAGAGGAATCTGGACAAACAGCCATTGTTGAGTCTCCAGCTCCTTGAATTCATTTGTCTTCAGTCACTCTTCCACGGGATTTTTAATACATTAGGGTGTGTGTGTGTGTGCAAACTCAGAGATTTGCACATGTTGATTGCACACTCTACCAATGAGCCACATGCTCAACCCACAGTGGCCATTTATGAAGCTTCCTGTGTCAGTCAAGAGTTGTGCTAAAACACATCTGTTATGCTCGTTCCCCTCAATTTCTCTCCTTAATAGGAGCTTCAGCCTCGACCCTGGCTGTGAGTGAGGAGAGGTTTACACTTTTTCTCTCTCAGTGTAGAGGGATCATTTCCATCCTGAATAAAGCAGGTCCTGTGCACCCCTGGACCCAAGCGTTCAGTGGGAGCTCTGAGAAAAAGGACGGCTCTAATTGTGCTGATGATCTGTATAAATAGTCTTCACAGACAAATCTTCAGAGTTCTACCCTATTAACCTTAAAAAATTAGTACTAAGAGCCTATGAAATGCTTCTGAAGGTGTATATACACACATGCATGCAAATTCACATAATACACACATATACACACTGCAGATATACCACAAACATGTGCACAAATGCACAAGTCATACATCCAGACAGTCTCTTACTCTTTCAAATAAAGATGATGGAAAAAAATCACACACAATAGTGTGAAGAGAGAGGTGAGGGGAGTCAGGTAAGGAAGAGAAGCTGCATCCAATTACAGCCGTGCTGTTTTCTGGGTCAAGAAGATTGCAAAAAAAGTTTTCAAACCTATAAAAAGACAAGCAGAGGCTCGACCTTAATCCTAGAGCTAGTTGCTTCCCTCACCTGGCCATGAGCAACTTAATACCGCTCTGTGTACAACACAGAGGGTCTTCCCGCACCTGACCAGCCCAGGCAACACTGCACTGTGTGACCAGAGAGGGCGGCAGTCTCCTCCCCAGACCAGTGCGGAACACAAAGGGAGTGTGGGAACTGAGGCAACTGCCCTGCCCTAAGGTGAGGAGTACTCTCCTCTCCTCTCTCTCTGTGTCTCTCCCCTGTCTCTGTCTCTCTGTCCCCCCCCCTCTCTCTCTCTCTGTGTGTGTGTGTGTGTGTGTGTGTGTGTGTGTGTAAGGACTGAGGGTGAGGGTTGCATGAGTGAATGTGGGCCTGGTGATATCCACTCCTCCAGACCTTGACTACTCACACCTTCTTCCTTTGTAGGGACAGACTGGGATACCAAGGTCGCTGGGACTGACAGCCTCCTCCTTCTTCCAGCCATATGTCATTTGCACTTTTGAAGTCGCAGTGGCTGTGATTACTGGGGTAAAACTCTCACAAGGTTGAGCTCATTAACATGGTGGGGAAAGCTTGTGAGACTTCTCTCCTCCCCGTGGATAAAATGTTAGAGGAAGCCTCCATTTCCATGATGTAGCTTCCTATGCTCCCACAAGTAACCCCAATCAAACCACTGGCTCACCAAGCCTGACTTGTGTGACTTGTGTGGAACTGTTTCTTTGGTCTGTCGTTGCCCTTTCTACCTGGAATTCATAGAAACCGACTCCCGGCCACACAACACAGAAAACCTAAACCAGCCAACAATGTTAGCAGGAAAGAGGCACCTAAGGGCTTTCGATGAACCCCTCTGCTCCACCCTGTCTCCATCACTCTACAAAGATACCATCTTCACCCAACACAGGCATGGGAGCCAAGCCCAGGAGGAGTCAAGGAACTTGTTTACATGACCCTCTGCCCTCTTGCTGTTGAGTTCTCTGGCTGATGGCAAAGTTCAAGTCTGAACAGGTGATACTAGCAAGGGGATGTCTGTCTAACTCCCACACTGCAGACCAGGGAACACTGCACTGGGGGTTTGTAAAAGAAGAAGAGCGGGTTTCACACTGTCAAAAACCCAGGCTTCCTAAAGCGGAGCTTTGTGCCGGCATCCAGTCATCATCACATCTCACTTACTAAACTATGAGGATGAATTTAAAAGCTGACAGACACAAAGCGTGCTCATACTGGCTGGCGTCCGTGCAGATCAGATCACTGATAACGCCCTAATTAGGATGAGACCGTGTGCTAAAATGAGTTGGCTTTCCTTAATGTGATCAGAGATGGGAAGCCAGGATGCTTTCCACCCGGGAGTGCTCCACAAGCACTGCTGGCATCAGCAAGAGCAGTCATCTGAAGCCACCTCTCCAGACCCAGAGCCAGCAGGCAAAGGCAGGGGCCGGGAAGGAGCTCTGTATGCAGTCTGTTGTATGCAGTCTGCTGTGACTTCCGGGCCCCCAGAGCCTCGGTATGTAGTGTCACTTCTAAGTAGTGAGGACAAATGAAGTGCCCGTAAGCCCGAGAACTCACCTGGAGAAGCAGCCTCCAGCTTCCTCATTGCAAACCCATCCTTCAGCTTCTCAAAAGTCCCTTGAAAGTCATCTCTGCTTACAACCCTCCACTTAGGAGTTCTCTCTTGCTTTAATACCTACCCATTAAAATTTTCCAGGATGATAAAAGTCCCAGTCATTTATTTTTCTTTTGTGGGGTAGTAAGGGGGGGAAAAAAGCCCAATGCCTGAGTCTACTTGAAATCATTTTGAATTTTAATCATAGCAAATGTGTTTTAACAGTAGTCATAAAATGAACATTAGCACATATACAAAGGACAAGACACCAGTTTGGCATACAAAAATACCATATATTAAAATCAGTTCATTGAAAAAACTCAGACTGGCTAAGACACCATCTATAACAGAGAGAGCAGGCAGGGATGCTTGCAGACATTCAGATGAATAAACAGCAGCTTGAGATCCCATTATGAAGTCAGTATTTGGCAACACTTGGACAAGAATTTCTACACTGCCCTGCAGCTCATTTATCTGTAGGGCAATCTGGCCCTTTAAAAGAAAAGCTCCCCAAATAAATAGTCTCCGTGATTATAAATGAAACATGTCAGGAACTGAAGCTTACAGCCTTGGAGCAGCACTGACCTCACCATTTGACTGCACTTATCCTAGACCAGGAAGCCCATGTGTGGAGCTTTAACAGTGGAAGGAAGCAAGAGGGTAGTTATGTGTGTCTTCTGTTGGGAGTTTGTGGCCAATTTCCCAAGCTGAAAGCAATTTCCACACCATAACCATCAAATGAGGACACACAAACAAGTGGTGAAATACAGGCTTGTAGTAAACGGCAGCAGCCAGGATACAACCATATTATTCTTCAGCTTATTTTCCCCACAGTAGTACTCAAGTCACAGTAGACTCATTGCATTATGAGTTTTCCACAGCAAAGAGGGTACCAGGGTTCACTTGGTATGACCAACTCTATGTCCAACTCCACAGCAGGCCCTGGAATTTTCTACAGCCTTGATAACCCAAGAGCATCAGAGAGGATGCCAGGAAAGATAAGAACTCCTTGGGAACTCCCCCCTCAGCCAAGAGCTTTCCCTTTGTGTCTTCAACTTGAGCATCCTGAACTGAATTGGGTGGTCCATGATGGAATGGGCAGGCTTGATGAAGTCAGCCCAGATCACATGTCACTGGCTTCAACTGGCTTCTCCCATGGCTGACATACAGTGCCGGGTCTTCTTTTGAAGCCATAATCTCATCACAAATTTCCCTCTTTTAAAAATAGTTTCTCCTTTTCCAGACATATTGTCCTATCTGCTCAGAGCCCAGGAATTTGTCTCTACTTTTCCCTCAGGTGGGGCTCCTTGGCAGTGGGTTGGTTTCGAGCCCAGTTAGCCAGCCGAGTATGAGACATCCACCCCAGCCTTCTCTCCCTGTGCAGAGACCACAGGGATATGCACCTGTCCCCTGAAGGACATATTTGGCACATCTGTTTCTTTCTCTTTCTGCTCCACATTTCCTTGCCACCCACACGTCCAACCACACTGGATTATCAAAAAGTAAATGTCTAATTAAAGACCGGCCAGTCCCATTGGAAAGCTCCTGTTAGAATAACGCAGTAACTCATTGGGCAGGAAGATTACAGGAGACTGCCCTGTGGGCTACAGCCCTCCATCTAGTGATGCATTCAGAACAGTGATCCGGAAAAACGGAAAGATACAGGCTATGATTCTGTATCTCAAACCCCACTGTTGAGAATCTCAGGCAGTCCCTCAGTATTTTTGTTCTAATGACTGATTGTACCTAAAACCATAATATGAATAGTATTAAAAAAAACTTTTCTTACATTAAAATCCAGATAATGAAATAAGCATTTTTCAAGCACCACTACAGCATGAGATCCACACATGTGGATAACCCAGGCAGTGAATAGGGAAAAAGCAAAAAAAAACATTGACCAGAGCAAGCAAGGTAAGGAAGTGTGCAGAGAAACTGAGTCACATTGGAGGAGTTTGAGGATAGTGGTTTACAATCTTGACACATAACAGGGACCAAAAAAGAAAAAAAAGAAAAGCTATTCAGAAGTCAGAAATTAAATATACCATCTGCTCAGTGCCTCAGCAATCACTGGCTTTCCAATGGTGTTGTATAGGATTACTGACTTCTTTACATATGGAGATGGTGTGTATAGGATTACCCAGTTCTTTACATATGGAGATGGTGTTGTATAGGATTACCCACCTCTTTACATATGGAGATGGTGTTGTATAGGATTACCCACCTCTTTACATATGGAGATGAGTCTTAAGAGTTTAAGATATTCCCCAAGGTAGTTGGTTTGACACAGTATATGGAGATCATAGCAGCTGCTTAAAAATTAACATATAAATTCCACATTTTGTGATCCATGAATGAAGAAAAATAGTGTTGATAAACTTTTCTACTTTAATTTATCTCCAATTATAGCTAAAGTGTGTGTGTGTGTGTGTGTGTGTGTGTGTGTGTGTGTGTGTGTAGTATAGTGAAGTAAGTCAATTGTGTCAGAAAAAAATGGCTTGAATTTCCACTTATTTTTCAAGAGTTTCAGGTTGAAAAAGATCCAACAACTATCTCCTTCAAATAGACACCATGAGTAAATTATCTTGAGCGTCTCCCTGTTGCCTAGAGTTTATGTCTGGGTGAGGATCATCTTGCAGGTGATGTTTTACTGAGTATGGTGGAAATGTCAAAAAGCAACTTTTCCATCTAGGTCACCGGTGAGAGTTGGTCAACTTCTAGTGTGGTTATAAAATACTGCCTGGTCCATAGCATCATTCTTCTAGGAAAGAGGAGCTGCAGTCATGTGGGTATAACCCATAGCATATGAATAACCTTTGCCCTCCTAACTAAAAGACTTAAGAAAATAACATTTGGCCAACGTATAGATACAAGTTAAAGACAAGCCCCAAGGAGTAGTCTTCCCTACTGAACGCTGCAGAACTGGAAACCCAGCCCATTTCTGCTCCATTAAAGCAAATACGCTTGGTTGCTGTTACATCGAGAGCAATGGAGAGGCAGGCTAAGCAATTTTGACACAGCACAGACTTTCAAATGAAGGAACAGGAGCACTTTAAATCCAAATCTAAGCATGAATAAATGCCAGACTATCAGCAATAGTCTGGTCTTTATATAAATAAATGAATCTCAAGCTGAATTGTCTGCTTCCTTTACTCACTGAAAAGCAATTCTACAGAGTAGTTGCAGTAACCTTCCATTTTCTAAATTCTGCTGGTCCATGGTTTGCTTTTTTTCTAACTATGAAAAATGTAAAAGTGCCTTTGTGCAAAGTTTCAAACCTTTTAATGATAACTAAATTTAAAAAGAGAGACACTAAAACAATGTCACATCTCACTCTAAAAATAGTGCCTCTGTTTTAGCTTGGCATCCAGAAAATTACACCCACATATGTCCACACCAAATACAATGACAAGCTGGCTGACTTCAAGGGCAAACACAAACACTCTGTACACCAGGAAGCAGCATGCTCTTGGATTTCTCACCTCACTGATACAGTGATGAAGTCAGGAAAGAGATCAGAAGTGAACGGGGATTTCATCAGACTCTTATTTATTTGATTTTCTGTAACATTGACTCTTTTTGGCCACAAGACCCTAAACACAGTGTCACAGCACAGGTCATGCACAGCTTGCAAGTCAAAATTTTACAGCTACTATCTAGCTATGAGCTTTGGACAACAGACTCACATGCAGCTAATGGCCCCAGAAATGGGGCTTAATAAAGCTCTCTCTAAATGTTACTGTTCATACCTTTGTCCAAAGTATCTAAATAATAACCCCAAAGGACAATGGATGAGATTTTGTTATCACCTCCCACCCCCAAGCTCATAAACTTCTTAAAGCCTAGAAAGAAATCTCCTTTGGGAAACTGTTACTAGCCTGCAAACTCTCTTGGCCTTGATGCTACTTTGTGAGCCTCTTGATGTCATTATGACCAATGTGGTAGCCACAAGCCACATGGGAATGTTTAACTTTAAATTACTTTAAATTAAATACCATTTAAATGCCACTTCTGCAGTCGTCCCCACTTAATTGCCCAACAACCATGTGACTAGTAGCCATTCGACTGGACAGCACAGATTACAGAACAGTTTCCACTTATCCAACAGCACTGACCTAGAAAATTCCAAGAACTGTACCAACACACAGCTGACACTCCACCAGACCCACTCTGGGAGTCATGCAGGGGGTGAGATTGAATTATATGTCTAAAGAAAATACCTTAAATTGAAACTCAGAGCCAGTTTGCCCACGTCATCACAGTTTATGTCCCAGGGCATTATACAAAAATTTTCTAGAGACAACATAAGAGGCGGCACACTTGGCTCCACTTAGCATAGTAAGCATTCTCTTGCTTATGTCAAGATCATTAATAAAGAGGAAATTCATGCTTCTTATAAGTTACTATTTACACAACACTCATTGTCCTTGACATATGGGGAAAAGGGTCCTGGACAATGTTTCGCAGGTCTACATATTCAAATCATACAGTTTGGAAGAGTTTCTTTCAATAGCTATGTTCATCCCTAAATCAACCCTTCTTTTCTTCCCAGAGAGGACCCTACCTAAAAAGAAATTAAAGCAAGAGCTGACATAGCAAAGTACTCATAGCCTGTAAAGAATCGTAGCCTGACAGAGAAGGTGGCATGCAAGGGAGGGGTAACAGGGCACAGCAGTACACAGGTCTCATCCTCTAGCCACAGAGTTACCAGCTGTACACTCCGCTCCACTCCCACCCCCTCCTCCACCATGAGCTCATCGACAAGATGAAGCACTAGCGGCTCCTTTCAGCTGTAACTTCTGTGCTTGCCACTGATGTGTGACTCTCAGCCCTGGTTGCTTGTGTCACATGGGTAGATAGGTTTTTAGCATTGCAGGTAAATTACAGAAGAAGCTGAAACATTGAGTGTATAGAAATTGGCAGGTCTAGGTCTCTCTCTCTCTCTCTCTCTCTCTCTCTCTCTCTCTCTCTCTCTCTCTCTCCTCTCTCTGACACACATACACACATCCTAACAAGCACATATGCAAACTATAGGCAGAGTCTAGTTCAACAGTGTTGAGTAATGTTTCCTAGATCAAGCACACACACAGAAACTCTGACTGGAGCTCTGACTGTCAGGTTGTAAGGTCAAGGATCTACCAGGGAGCAACTGATTTGGCTTAATTGCAGCTCTAGCATGAACTGTTGTTAAGTAACAGGTCTGTGACATTTTTACTATACAACTTTGCAATAAAAAACACAGGACACCATATTAACACATACATTAGTATCTATAAATAGCCTCCTAAACAGCTAGAACCCTATCACACATTGCACTATAGGATCAGTCGTTTTTTCTACTGTGTAGAAAGGTATGTAGATAGCTCTCACAAATTAATTTAAATGTGGCCTGTCTTAAAATTGTTAGGGTAAAGTCCATTGGAAACGTACCATCCTTAATGCAACATTTCTGTCTATGTATGTTTTCCCCTCCAAGTGAGATAGAAATTAGGTCAGACAGACATGCATTATAGCAGCCTGGGAGTTTGAGAAATTGATACTAACCCAACAGTATATTATGTTACATAATAGAGGATAGTATTCAGATAATATGATACCTAAATTATTAATACCAAATAAATCCTAGATTATTTGTTGTATAATGCCCAATAGCTTACAAGATAAAATGGTATTTTAACCTAATTTCTAGTTTGAGCCCTCAAATACAGTTTTTTTTTTCTAAAGGTCTTACAAATTTGAAAGATTTAAAAAACTAGAGCTCATAATTTGATGTTGAATTTTCATGCCAATTGTTAGCTTTGTATTCTAGCTATTATTCTTTGGGGTTTTTTCCCACAGCAATGCCATCACTTTAGTACACATCTGTTGTACTGCATGAAGAGGAAGGCTAGCATGCCAATGCGCTGCCTCCATCTTACAGGACTGCTGCTGTCTTTGCTTCTTAGAGCCCGCCAGTCACTGCTTATCTTTCCATTGCTTTTCTCATCCTTCCTACCATTTCAGGGTTTCAAAAGAACAGCAAAGAGTGGATTCCTTGACAATATCACAAAAGGAGTTCCAAGAGGACTATCGAGCTCGCAGCTATTTCTGAATGCACACACAGCCAGGGACAGGGACTGATCCCTTCAGCCTAACTAAACTTTCTTCATGAATTCACATTTCAAAACAGTTGAGCACTCAGGAGAAACTGGTCCACTTACACAGGGAACAGCAGTTTTTCTTTGCCATGCTACTTTTGTCAGTAGAAACATTTTGAAACATAAAACATTTTCTTGCAGATTCCAACAAGATGAAATTGCAATTCTAAACAGGTTAACTCTTACAGGAACATCTTGAAAAAACGATCAAGGACTGTCTGTGAAAATGCCCATCTAGGTGTGCCGTCAGTAAGCAACATTTGTGAATTTCACACAAAAATCTCCAAACTTGGGGGCAATGACGAGTTCTCCTGACATTTCCCACCTGTGTCTTACTGACACAGGATCTCACATAGCGGAGCAGCCAGTGGGTATTGCAGGAGATGTGGGGGACTCTCGAAGGGGAAGATCCAGGCACTGACGAGGAGGCCAGTGTTTCAGACATGAGGCTTGCGCATGCCTGCAAAGTCTTCCTCCCAGGATTCTTCAGGAAAAACTCAAACATCTGAGGTAAATCAGTTTACACACACAAAATACACACACAGATTCACAATATTTACATTTTAAATTCTTATTTCGTGGGATGGCTTGAGAAATATTGGCATATAGGTTTCCTGGGGAATTAGGCATTTCCCATTGTTTCCCAGTCCATCACTCACCTACTGGGCTTCCAGCTTAACACATAGGAAGCTCTAATCACAAATGAGGAGGGATGAAGGAACATGACAATACACATGACGCTGGAGACACCTGTTCAAATATCTTCTTCCAACAACCAAAAGGTCTGTTTTATTTTGACTTGGGTGCCATTCAAAATGTGTAAAAAGGCCATGAAGACCAGGCTGCAGACACACACACACACACACACACACACACACACACACACACACACACACACACACCAGCTCTGTGTCTTCACTAGTTTTTTTTTCTTTTAACATGGATTTGAGGTTTAATTCTACTTGCGCGCACAGCATCTGTTTTAACCTACAATCTACCGTATTGAGAGAGCTCATTGCACCCACATGTACAGTTTCATGTCTAAGTAGAAAAGCCTAACTTGGGAAAACGATTTTGGAAAACCATGAATTACAGCCCATCGAATACACAACTATGAGGAAGCATGCACACATCTTCACGGCTGTCACCATCTCCAAACAGTTCTCCTGGGAGCTTGCTGAGACCTCACCCTCTGCTCTTGTCTTCAGGTGAATCAAGTGGCCAATCGGAGGCCAGCACTTGCACCAAATGGTCATTGTCACCCCCATCACAGGGATCCCATCGCCAACACCTGCTTACCCCCTAAGTTGGCACCCACAAAAGGCATCCCTGTGACAGGCTTCAACCACAGGATATCACAGTGAAGCGCTTGGAGATGCAGGACATGTTGTGTAGCACGATGCCCAAGAGGAAGACCAAAACACAGGCCACCAAGATGACAGTGCACACGCCAGACCACGTGGAACTCTTCACCACACCCCGTCTGTCAGGCTCCTCCTCCACGGCCTCTTGGGGAGCTCCACCCTGCAGGGGCTGCTGTTCTGCAGGGATGGTCACCACGGTGAGGGACTTCTGCTGGTTCCCTGGCAGCAGACGGCAGCCCATGTCTCCTGGCAGGAGAGTGCGCTCCTTAGAGATGGGCAGGGGCAGCATGTAGCACCCATTGCTAGGAAGTTTGATAAAGACTGGGGTGTGCTCGGAAGTGTGCGGTATGGCGATGACTGCCAGGACCTCGGGGTCATCGGGCAGCTGTGATACAGAGAAGCCTGGGGGCAGCTTGGTGATGCCGCGGCACCAGGGGCACCTTACGTCCTTCTGGCCGGTCCTCATCTGCTGGAGGCACACCGAACAGCAGGTGTGCTTGCAATCCAGCAACTTGGGCCTTCGTCGCGGGCTGTAATAATTAAAACAGATCTGACATTCCAGCAGGGAATCCTGGGAGAGTGTCTCCATCGTGGACCAAGAGCCAAAGGGCAGGGCCAACAGGAAGGTCAAAGAGCTGGTTCTCAAAGGTCACCACTCTGAGTCAGTCTTCTCAAGGTGGCTAGGGAATCAGCGGGCTCACAGGCATCGATCGTTCATACATGTGATAATTTCTGAGGGAGAAAAACAATGCAAATGAAACTAATTAATCCATTAAAAGAAATTGCAATGCGAGTTAGTTAAAACATATCATAGCTCAAAAGTATTGACCCTGGGTTAAACTTAAGAAAATGCCTCACTGCTGAGACTGTAAGCTTTTTGTAATGCCCAGTGGAAAATCAGCGTCTTGCCGTTATTTACCTCACTGTGAGAATTCACAGCCAGATACAGGGAACTTTATAGACCAGGTGCTTTGTGTAAGCATAGTTTACTTGTTTTATGCCCATTTCTTTTTTTAATTATATCTTTACATTTTGTTATTTTACATTATCCCATAGTGTTCCCACAAATGTGTGGGATACAATATGATGTTTCAATACATGCTCACAGTGTGTGATGATCAAATTAGGGTAATTAACATATCCTATTACCTCGACATTTACTGTTGATTTTTCTTTTCTTTTCTTTTTTTTTTTTTTGTCATTGTCTGTGTGCTATTTATATGTACATACACATGTAAGGTCAAGGCTAATGTCAGGAGCTTTCCTTAGCTTCTGTCCAAACTAATCATTGAGGCAGGGTCTCTCAGCTGAACACACAGCTTGCCCATCAGCCAGCCTAGCTAGCTTGCTTACCCAGGGGTTCCCTGTCTCTCTCCTGAGAGCCGGGTTTACAGGAAGCCACCACACCCACCAGGCATTCACCTGGGTGCTAGGGATCCAAACTCTGGTCCTCATGCTTGCCTGGCAAGTAATTCATCTGCCAGCATCATTTCCTTTATCCTAGCTTATGTGGACTCACAAAGGAAGGGTTTCATTGTGACAGACTCAGACAGGCAGACAAATGTGCTCCTTTCTCGGAGGTGATTGAAATAGCCCCACAGGCAGAAGCGCTCGAATCCCATCTTTTTATCTCTTCCTCCAAACACCTTCAGTGAGATAATTCTTATCAATCAGCTTTACAAGAGACCAAAAGAACAAAAGGACAAGCACACAACAAAAGGAGAGCAGCGGACGGCCCTGGAAGTACTGCAGGCACGAGGCCAGCCCCACGGAGAAATCACTGCTCCGGTCTTCCAGTTCCATGATTTAGGCTCGCCTGACGGAAAGCTTATGCCTTATGAGACTTTTGGCAGTGGTGGGGAATGAACCCACGACTTCACATGTGTTAGGAATGTGTTCTACCCTGAAGTTATACCACCCAGCTCCTAAAAGCAAATTCCCTTAACTCAGTGATCACAATTGTTAGTGAAGACCTAACAGGAAGACTGTGTGTGTGTGTGTATACACACACACACACACACACACACACACACACACATTTGACTATATATAGTTGGGGAGAGGGTACATGCACCTCCCTGGTGTCACGCAGAGAGTAGATACTTACTCAAATTGAAATGAGGTTTGAGGGCCCCCTTTGCCCTTTGGGTTTGCAGCAAAGGCTGCCCAGGTCTGTTTCCTGCCTAAAGCATCTATATTCTTCTTCTTTGTATGAGTCACAATTCTGGAAAGAACTATTTGCCATGAACTTTCTATATTTCTAATTTAATTTCCTTTGTAAAATTTAAAAAAATATCCTCTTGGATACACACATGGTTAAAATAAAAATTTTAAATTCTCGAAGAAGCAACACAATTTGAAGAACAAAAGTATATTACGTACTAAAGAGATGGCTTTGGGGGGAAGGCGCTTGCCAGCCTGGCAACCTCGCTTCAGATCCCCAAGCCCATGAAACTCTCAGAAGCGGGAACTGGCACTCCAAACTGTAGTGAAATGGTAAGCATAGTCGGAACCGGGCAGCTCACTGGCCAGCTAGTGCAGAGCACACAGCAAAATAACAGAAACTCGAGAGACCTCGTCTCAAACAAGATGGGAGGAGACCCATGAAAGACGGCTGCCATAGACATGCAATACAAAAATTACATTAATCGCTGACAAAATTAAATCATTAAAAGAGAAACATACTTCTGTGTGTTAAAAGCACCTACTTCAATATTTTATCAAAACTAAAATTAATAATACATCATTCAGAAAGTCCATTTCAGAATTAACTATATCTCTAATAACTAATCTAAGTGGTCAGTCATGTACAAGGTAGATATGTGTCTAGCATATGGCATATGCACATATATGTGTGTGTACATGCATTCATGTGTGCTCACATGCAGGTGGAAGTCACAGGACAACCTCAAGTGTCAATCTTCAGTCTCCTCCCCCTTTTTGTTGTGAGACAGTATCTCTTATTGGCCTGGAATTTCCCCAACAGTCGAGACTAAGCTGGCCAGCCAGCCTCCTGTCCTGGAGCGTCTGGGGGCCCTCTGCCCTTCACCTCCCATTGTTCATTGCTGGGATTACAAGTGCCTGCCACTCTGCCCAGCTTTTTAGAACAGTCTTTGTAGTTAAGACTTAGGGTCTGCCTACCGAGAGTCCCAAATTAGAGCTGGGAGCTCCAACTACTTATGCTTTGTTACACTGCTTCAAAAAGGCTGGAGGAGTCGGGGATGTCTAATAAAAAAATCTGAACTATAGAAACGAATCTGGCATGCAGAGCAAGAGGCTAGACGGTCTGTTTTCAGGTTAGGAAAGCAGTGAGCGAAGGAAACAGAGTAGCCATTATCTGGTTATTCTTCCACCTCCCACCTTAGGTGGAGGGTTGTATCTATACTAGAGAGACTTAGAGGTGTCTTCTCAAAGAATTTTACAGCTGTTGCTCTTCTTATTCCTGGTTTTGACAAAGACACCTTTGAAAGAAAGCAGCAGTGACTCAGCACTAGAATGCTTCCCAGCAAGTACTGGGCCCTGCATTCAGTGCCTAGGACCATCCACAGATGAGTGAAGGGCTGGGGAAATAGCACAGTAACGAGGGAAGCCCCACGGTATCCCCTGTATGGCAAAGATTAAATACAAAGTCACTTCTCAGGAAGCCTGTGCTCTAGTACTCTTCCCCAGGCCAGGACAGCAGATCCCACGGGAAGGAAGACAGCACCAGCTATGGACTGAGCACTTCGGCCAGCATCAAGTGCCAGGCGTGGGCTCTAGAGCAGGCAATGGAAAAACACTAAAAAGCTTGAGAGTAAGACTGATCATCTGGGTCAGGTTGGAAAGGTCCACGAGCAGACTATCATGTTAGACAGAGAGGAGCTGTGGCCTGGACGGACAAGGTGAGGTAGAAAGTGTGAAGAAGTCTTATGAATGTTGACATAAAAACTGCAGCTCTCATCTTAAAGGGAATAAGAGGGAGTTTATTCTGGAGCTATTTTGAGTGACTGTGGCCCGGGAACAAAGATTTAGGTTACCCCAAATTCCATGTTTCAATGTGGAAACAGTTTCTTAGGTTTACAGAACAAAGAAAGTCATAAATGGAGGCAAGTTTAAAATACATTGGTAGGTACATCAGAGAGACCGGTACAGCAGACCACTAGTTCGTCCCAACCCAAAAGCTAAGAATGTCATCAGATAGCGTTGTAAGCCAATAGCAAAGCTTCCCCCATCTTGCTGTAACGACCTCTCTATCGTTAGATAGTTAGAGGATGTTAGTTCTGGCAGAGGAGGGAAAGGAATTTACTTCAGGGCTAAAGCTAACCTAAGACAAGGCAATCAGCCTCTGGATGGCCTGCAGATGACCACCCTCTCCACATCACTGGAGTCCTCATCAGTCAATCAGCTTTTACAGACAGGGCTTCTTTTTAGGAGATCTCATTCACATAGAGTGAGGCAATTACTGCAATGAAGAGGTCACAAGTGTGAAGACGTCAAAACAAAGCCTTAATAGGAACACAGTGTCACTGAGACAAGTAGAGATGACATGCAACAAGTTTGTTTAGGACATACTCCACTGAAAGTTCCAGGAAGGTACTTAAACCACACAGGAAAAGTCAGTGCTAGGCAGAAGAGACTGAACAATCAGGAACGTGAGCCGCGGGCTCAAGAAAGTTATGTAGAAATTAGAAAGAAGAAAGTAGGTGTATTGCTGCCATGGAAAATCCAGAACAGAGAAGTGCAGAGTCCTGAAGAGCTAGCCACTCCTTTGTGGGTAGTCTTCCCTTTGCCCTATGTAAGGTTACTTACCCTTCCTATGGCTCACTGTCTAAAGAGAAGCCACACCTAAATTATTACGGTGCTAACTGCTGAATAACCTTTCTGTAAATTTATAAAACCCGTAACATGGTGAGTTTCAAATTACATCAGAGCAGGACACTGTCCTTATTCTCTAATCTACTCCTCAACTGATACAAAGTGTGTCAACTGCTGTGAAGTTGACTTTGCAAAACAGTCATGTTTGCTTAAGGAACTACAGGAACAAGTCCCCGGGTCAGACTGACAGAAGCACAAACAGAAGAGGGAGACGCATGCCCTTAACAAGGAAGACCGTGGGCTCTTCTCGCCTTCCTGCAGCTTGTCTTGCTTTTTTTTCTCCTCTCTAAAAAAACCCTTCCAGCACCCAGCTAGCTATGATGAAGCTTTGAAGACACAGCCTTCCCATCTTCTCAGGATGCCTGACAATAAAACTGACTCCCTTCCTTCCCAAACCTTTGTCTACTGAGCTTGTGATTGGTGAGCAGCTAGATGCAGATCCAGGGACACTCCTTCTAATGTTGTACTCAGAAATAATTAATGTATTTTTCGTAAAGAAAGCAAAACAAAAACTCCCCGAGGTATACTGATGAATCACACTCTTAGACGCTCTTAGTGTAAAACTCACTGACAGAAATCAAACCATAGCATGACCCATTGATGTGAATGTCCATACAGGGAAGGACTGACTACTTTGAGCTATGGTAGCAGAAAAAAATCACAGAAAAGTATTAAAATGACAGAATCCTGAAGTTTTATGAGAGATCTTTCCTTAACAACTATACCCAAGAAAACACCCTTGCTGTAAATACATCTGGAGACAAATGTTTCATGGCACCAAGATCAAAGTTGTCAATCTACTAATTAATCTTCTTTCCATATTATTTAGCTCATGTACTAAGTAATAGCATGAGGAACAGTTTAATAAGTGCAAAAAA